GGGTGATATGGCAGCCTAATAATAAAAATAACATTTATATAGTGATTACGATGTGCCAGGCACTTTAGAATTATTTCATTTGGTCCTCACAACAACCCTTGGAGTGAGGTGCTATTATTCATCCTCTTTTTACAGATGGTGAAACCGAGGCAGACAGAGGTAAAGTGACTTGCCTCACACAACTAATAAGTGTCTTGAGAATAGATCTGAACTCAGGTCTTTATCCACTGCACCACCTAGCTGCCTTCTCCCACACCCCACTCCCATTCAGAAAGTGATTTTGCCCTTGGACTACATTTAAGAGAGGCATTGCTTCCAGAAACAGGGAGGTAATGATCCTGCTGTGGTCTGCCCCAGTCAACCCTGATCTGGACAATGTATTCCAGGGCACCAGGGTTTAAGAACATTGCTGAGCTGCAGAGTGTCCAGAACAGAGTAGTCAGGACAGGGAAAGGCCTGGGTCCTGGTTATTTGAGGATCACTTGAAGGAACTGAGTATGTTGAGCCTGGAGCAGAGAAGACTCAGAGGGAACATGAGTTATGTGTTCAAGTATCTGAAGGGCTGTCACATGGAGGAAGGATCAGACGTTTTTTGCTTGGCCCCAGAAGGCTGAAGTAGGAGTGGTGGGAGGGAAGGTACAAAGAGGCAGGCTTGGGCTAGAGGTCAGGTCAAGGAGTGTAGGGGGCTGCCCTGACAGGCAGTGGGCTGCCCCTGCTTAGGAGCTGGCTGCCTATTTGTCAGCTCTGCTATAGTGGGGATTCCTTTCTGGGCATGGGAGGCCTAGAATACCACTGTGCCTCCTCCCAACCCTCCAATTGTGAGATTCAGGGAGAGTAAGCAGACTGCTGCTGGCTTTTTTCTCCAAAGTCATTGGTGGTGGAGGGGCTGGGGTGGGGGTGGTGGGGGGGGAACCAATCCAGAGAAAAGGAGTAACAGGAAGAACCCAAGATGCATAGTTGAGATTTTTGGCACTATCCCTCCCCCCCAATACACACACCCCTCACTCCCCCTGACCCCTCGTCTTCTCTGCTTCCTTCCAAGGTGATGGAAATAGCTGCCATGATTTTCTCATTATGTGGGGCTCTCCCGAGACCCCTGAGGTCTGCCTGGAAGGTCAGCGCCTAGGCTTTGGTGGCACATGGAGTCTGTGGCATTGTCATAGGCCAAAGTTGCTTGCCTGGCCCCATCCCCCAGCTGGCCCCCATGTGGCACCAGAGTAGGGGGTCTGTACCTCCTCATTCTGGCAGAGGGATGGGCCCTACAGGAATGGCCTAGGAAGCTGAGCCTCCCAATCCCCACCCCACCCCCAAACCCCCAAACCTCCCCATGACCCAGAGCAAATGCTGGCCCTAATTAAGTGCAAGCGATAGAGAGCTTGAGGAGGAGTAGATTGTCAGGGTGAAAGCCTCTTCTCCAATGGCAAGTCATCCAAAACAACTCACTGGAGATGGGACGGGACAGGGTAGGGAGGGGCAGCGAAACAGGGGCTGGGTTTGATGACTCCACTTTGGCTCCCCCAGGAAGACAAGTGTGCGCTGGCATGTTGCTCTGGCCTAGATGATGGAAAACAATTTCTCGTCCACATTTTGGCTGGGGAGACACTTCCAGGAGGAGAGGGGGTGGTATTTTTCCCCTCCTCTGAAATATTCTGGGAATGGCTTTTCTCCCCATCTTTTTAACTTTGATGGGGGTGGGGAGGATTAGGAGAAAGTTACATGATGCTGATGGGGTGGGGGGCTGCCTCGTGAGCTATTTCTATAGACAGCCAAGATACCTGCTATTAATATCATCCAGTCGAGCTCGTCCTACCGTAGACTGCTGTTATTATTAACCCAGGAGGATTCTATCCCAACAATCACATTATTATGGGCCTAGGATTATTAGTAGCAACATTACTGCCATTTTACAGATGTGGAAACTGAGGCATCAGGATGAAAGGAAGTCAGGTTTAAAGGGAAGAACATTGGATCTGGGGTCTTGGGGGTCATTGGGCCATAGGTTCAGAGCCAGAAGAGACTTGTTACTCAGTATATCTCCGTCATTTAACAGTTGGGGAAACTGAGGCCCAGAAAGAGGAAGGAACATGTTCAGGGTCGCATAGGAAATAAGTAGGCAAGGTATGAATTAAACTCGGGTCCCCTGGCTTCAAATCTTGCTCTCATTCCACTCTACCACAAGGCCAGGAGATCTGGAGTCAAATCCTGGTTCTGCTACTTAACTAGATCTGTGACCCTGGGCAAGTCACTTAACCCCAAATGCCTTGCAAAAAAAAAAAAATGAAGCAGAGCTGAGGAGGGGAGCCCTACTCAATTCAATGAGTCTCCTAGTCAACTTTCTGGGGTACAGCCCTTTTTGGGAAAGAGGCCCCTCCTAAGGACCTGGACAAAGGGAACTCCTCAAATTTGGGGCTCCTGGATTGAAAGAGTGCCTAGCTCTCTTTCCTTATAATGCCCTTGCAAAGAAGGTAGTGCAAATATTGATGCAGCTAGGTGGCGCTGCAGTGGACAGAGTGCTGGACCTGGAGTCAGGAAGACCTGAGTTCAAATCCAGCCTCAGACACTCCCTAGCTGTGTGACCCTGGGCAAGTCACTTCACCCTGTCTGCTTCAATTTCATCATCTGTCAAATGGGGATAATAATACCACCTACCTCTCAGGGTTGTTGTGAGGATCAAATGATATAAGTATTTGTAACTTAGCACAATGCCTTGGCACATAGTAAGTGCTATATAAATGTCAGTATTATTATTTCTCTGTTACCCAAGAGGCTCAAGAGATGTAAGGGGACTTGCCTAGGGTCTCACAGCTTTATCATTCTTAAGTTTTAATCAGCCTGGCTCCATTCCAAGGAGAATCTGGATTTAGGCCTCCCTCTCCTCATGGCCCAGAATCATGCCAGTGACCAGGTCTCCCAAACATCAGGGTCCTCCAGAGGACACCCCAACACTAAGTCAGCTGAGGGGCACACTGTTCCTTCCACAAACTCAGGAGGCAGAGAAGAGCTGAGCTGCCACCTGGATGCCCTGGGTGACTGCTTTGGCACAACACTCCGGGCCACACAGCAGGCATCTCTCCTGCCCCACAATGAGCCTGTTTCCTTATTTGCAATCTGGGGGTAAGTTGATGAATTCAAGTTGCTAGGCAACCTGGCTCTTCTCCATGGTAGTCACATGGCCTGAGCAGGTCACTCCCCTTCACTGGGAGGAAGTTTCCTCATTGGCAAAATGGAAATAATAATTTGAGATTTTCCTGATGATGGAAAGAAACACTTAGAAAGTGCTGCTAACTAGCTGGGTGACCCGGTGTGACAAGTTGGGATTCAATAATAATCACAGCAACAATAACAGAGAAAGGCCTGAACTTGTGATTCCATGGCATAGACAGCAAATTCCATGGGGAGGAAACTCTCTCCACTGATGCAGGTGAACATTTTCTCTGCAACACAGAACTAACCAGAGCTAGGCTGTCCCACTCAACTAGAAACAGTGGGCCTTAGAAAACTGTATCTTTTTTTCAAAATGACCTAAGTTCTATGCAGGGGTGGAGAACCTGCAGCCTCAAGGCCACATGTGGCCCTCTAGGTCCTCAAGTGCAGCCCTCTGACTGAATCTAAACCTCACCAAATCCCTTCCAGGTCCTCAAGTGTGGCCCTCTGACTGGATCCAAACCTCACCAAATCCTTTCTAGGTCCTCAAGTGCAGACCTTTGACTGAATCCAAACTTTGCAGAACTGATCCCCTTCATAAAAGGACTTGTTCTGTAAAACTTGGACTCAGTCAAAAGGCCACACCCGAGGACCTAGAAGGCCACCTGTGGCCTCGAGGCTGCAGGTTCCCTACCCCTGTCATATTTTATTTTTATTTCTGCTATTAAATATTTCTCAATTACATTTTAATCTGGTTTGGGCTGTACTCCAGAGTGTTGTGGGCTAAGCGCCATGAGGGCCAAGTGTCAAAGCAGGTATTCCATCCGTTAGGTCCCAAAGAACTTCACAGTCCACAAAGCACCTTCCTTTCAATGCCTCAATGAAGTAGGTAGTACAAATAGGACAGTTATCCCCTCCACATCACAGGGGTAAGGGACACGGCATCCCCCACAATCTGGAAAATTCAGGTAAAATTTTTCCCTTCATACCAGAGGAGAAGTCTGAATTATGGTATTAAGAGATAAAACATGTTGATATTATAGAATACTATAATATAGTTTATGCATTTCTGAGTTTTTAAACTTTTTCTGTGTTGTCTGCTGGCCTTCACGTGTCATCTGCAGTTTCTGCAAAACTCCCCCAAAAGTCCCATTTAATTTCTTATGCCAACCCACCACATGTGGAAACCACGATGGGGAAAATCATGATGGGGATAACTGTATTATCTCCATTTGACAGATGAGGAAGCTGAGGCTAAGAAGAGTGAAGTGGTTCACCTAAGCTCACACAGCTTGGGGTTGAATTCGAAGATGATAGGAGGCAATAGTCCAGATAAGAGGTGAGTGGTGACTGAATGGACAGGGGCCACATGGGAGAAACATTGGTGTGACAGTAATGACAAGATGAGACAATGGATATGTGGAGTGAGGAGTCAAGGATGATTGTGAGATTGGGAGCCTGGATAACTGGGAGATTAATGGTTTCTTCAATACTAACAGGGCAAATCATTTCACTCCCTAGGCTGTAAAACAGCTGTAAAACAAGGGCATTCGACTAGACAAATGCCCTTCTACCTCTAGAGCTGTAAACATGTGAATGAATCACCCTCTGAGGAGCTTCATCCAGAAGCCTGGCAGATGAGGCAGCAGGCTAGCTCACTGCTGCTTCCAGACTGGGCCTTCCTCCAAAACTTCCTGACAGAGAGCTCCCATGAGGGTGTGGGGCAACAATGGGGGCCATTTTGACTAACAAGTTAGCCAGCTTCTCCCTTTCCTTGACTTACAGATGCAGTCACAGGGAGCAGAGATGAAAGAGGGGTAAAGTTAGGAAGAAGATACCCAAACCCGGCAACTCACCATAGACAAATAGTTGGATGGTTCGGTTTTCATAGAGGCCATGCTGGGTGTTGCTCAGGACAATGGTATAACTCCCAGAATGCTTCACTTTCACATCTGTGATGGTGAGTCTGTACCTTAATGGGTCTGAATGGTATGTAAGGTTTTCTGGAATCAGCTGGCCATCCTTGTACCTGTCAGGAGGGGCAGAGGAATGATCAGTTACAAGGTGGCTCTTTAGATGCCCAGTTACACCTTCCACTTGGGTGTTTGAGCTCTTCACAATTTGCCACAAGAAAAAGGGGCAACAAGATCATTTTGAAAGCTTTCCCATTGATAAGAAATCATAACACCTCTAGGTGTTAACAATAAGGGGCCCTGGAACTGCCAATGTATTTATTTTCGTAGTGTTGTTCAGTCATTTTTCAGTCATGCCTGACTCTTCGTGACTCTATTTGAAGTTTTCTTGGCAAAAATGCTAGAGTGGTTTGCCATTTCCTTCTCCAATGCATTTATTTAACAAGGATTTATTAGCCTGTCTTGGGTTAGGCACTGTTTTAGGCACTGGGTACAAAGACACCAATGAAGCAGGACTTCCTCTCAAGGAACTTACTATTATCCTATTGACGTATGAGGAAACTGAGGCTAAGAGGAGTGAAATGGTTCACCTAAGCTATCCTATTACTATCCTCTTAGGGAAGGGATGACATGAACACAGATAATGACATCTAATATATGGGTCACATAAATACAAAGTGATTTCTCTGTCCCAGTTTGGAGTCATCCATTCTTCCTGAGGATCTGGGTGAAGAGACTCTGAAAGAAGAGGAGGGGAGGGAGGGGAGGGGAGGGGAGGGGAAGGGAGGAGAGGGAAAGAGAGGAGAGGGGAGGGAAAGGAAGAGGAGAAGAGAGGAGGAAAGGGAAGAAAAGAAGGAAAGGAAAACAAAGGAAGGTCAACTCACCAGGTGACATTGGGCCTAGGAAAGGCATCCACTCTTACAGATAGCTTCTGCATGCCATGGCCAGAAATCACCTCGTAGACAGTGTTCCGTCTGTAGGTCACATTGATATATGCTTTCTCTGGAAATAGAATGTGAGCAGAAACAAAGCTTAGGAGGACACCTACTGCATAAACAAGGCCCTTGTGGACTTTGTGTGCTTCAATGAAATGACAATGATAAGTCTTTCAATGAGCATTTATTAAGCACCTACTGCATGCCAGGCTGACAAAAATGCTCCTGTCCATTTAGGGGCAACATATACATAGAAAAATAAATGCTAAACATGTATGAAGTCATTATGCAAGGGAGGGCACTAGTATCTGGGAATATAAGAATAGGCCTTGTGTAGGGAGGCATGTGAGCCAAACTTTGAGGGATACTAAGAGGGGAAGTTGAGGAAGAGGAACATTTCAGGTACAGGGCACAGCCTGAGCAAAGTCATGGAAAGAGAAAATGAAATATTGTATATGAAGACTAACACATAAGCCAGTTAGGCTGGAATGCGGAGTTTGCGGAGAGTGCCAGGCCTGGAGTCAGGAAGACTCATCTTTCTGAGTTCAAATCCTGCCTCAGACACTTCCTAGCTGTGTGACCCTGGGCAAGTCACTTCACCCTGACTGCCTCAGTTTCCTCATCTGTAAAATGAGCTAGAGAAGCAAATGGCAAACCACTCCAGTATCTCTGCCAAGAAAACCCCAAATAGAGTCACAGAGAGTTGGGCATGACTGAACGCAACTGAGCAATGACAAACAACAAAATTTCCAATAGGCCTGAAAAGGAACACTGGGGCCAGAGAGTGAAGGGCCTGAAATGGCACTGAGAGGAGTTTGTAGAGAAAGATGGTGCCACTAGAGCTTCTGGGGAGTGGGGTGGGGATCCTGGGAGAGCCTGGAAGCAGGGGGGCCAATCAGGAGGCTTATGCATTACCCTGGCTTCCCCATACCCCTTCAGGTCTCAGTTCCAGATCTATCTCTTCCAGGAAGCCCGGCCCAGTCCATCCTCCCTAGTCTTTGGGCCTTCCCTCCTGGTGAACCCATATGGAGCTGGCTTGGACACAGTTGTTTGCAGGTAGGCTCCCCTGTTGGACTTGAGACTGGTTGTTGCCTCTCTTTGCATCCCCAGGACTTGGCCCAGTGCCCAGCCCACAGTAGGGGCTTAGTAAATGCTAGCTGTCTGACTGAGTAAGTGAGAGGCAATGAGGGCCTGCACCAGAAGGGCGGGCATGTGAAAGGAGAGAAGGTGAAGGATGAGAGACACGTTGTAGAAGCCCAATGGCCAGGACTTGGCAACTGACCTTTTTTGAAAAGAATAGTAGTGAAGGAGAAAAGAGTGAGACATGGCAGCTGTGTTGGCAACTGACCTTTTTTGAAAAGAATAGTAGTGAAGGAGAAAAGAGTGAGACATGGCAGCTGGTGGTGTAGCTCAGTGGTTTCCAACTCAGAGAGAGATGGGGCCACTCAACTGCACACAAGGATCCCTGCAGGCGCAGACTGACTCAGAAAACTGCATAATAACATTATTTCTGTTCTTTCGTGTTTGTGTGGCTCTGGCTACACTCGGGAGTGTTGGGAACCATGCCAGCCAGAAGACACCTCCACCGCAGAGAGGCAAAAGCAGGCTTTTATTTGTTAAAGGTATCAAAGGGACCACAGCATTTCTACAATGCAGTAGCTCAGAGAAGGTCAGAGCTTAGAAGGTCTTTAGATTAGGGAATGTCAGGGATGGGAGGAACCTTAGAACAGGGAGTGTCAGAGCTGGGTGGGGCTTTAGAACAGAGAATGTCAGGACTGGGAATGGCCTTAGAACAGGCAATGTCAGAACTGGGAGGGGTCTTAGAACAGAGAATGTTAGATCTGGGAGGGGCCTTAGAACAGGGAATGTCAGGGCTGTGATGGGTCTTAGAACATGGAATGTCAGGGCTGGGAGGGCCCTTAGAACCTGGACTGTCAGAGCTGGAGCGACTTTAGAACAGAGAATGTTAGGGATGGGAAGGGCCTTAGAACGGGGAATGTAAGAGCTGGGAGGGGCCTTAGAACAGAGAATGTCAGGGATGGGAGGGGCCTTAGAACAGAGAATGTTAGGTCTGGAAGGGGCCTTAGAACAGAGAATGTTAGGTTTGGGAAGGCCCTTAGAACCTGGACTGTGAGAGCTGGAGGGGGCTTAGAACAGAGAATGTCAAGGCTGAGAGGGACCTTAGAACACAGAATGTCAGAGGTAGGAGGCGTTTAGAACACTAAATGTGAGAGCTGTGACCTACCCAGCACAGTGATGTTGATGCTGGCCTGGAGACTTGAACCATTGCCTTCCTGACATCGGTAGAGTCCACTGTCCTCCACAGTCACATTCCAGATGGTCAGGTTACTGTAGCTTTTGTACACAGGGGTCCTTTGGTCCATGTTCCTCTTAACTTCACAGCACCTGGGATTTGCCTTGTTCTGTGAGATGGGAGAAAGCACAATCAAAGTTTCCGTGAAGTGTTTGGTGAACTCCTCCCATGGACCCAGACCCGAGCTAGCCTTGGGGGAGGGTATAGACATGACTATGGCTCAGGCCCCACCCTCAGGGGTTTCATACCCATGAAACAACTGGAACACAATAGGAGTCTCTTTGTGAAAGGTGATCAGGGCCCAGAAAGGGAAAAATAGATAGGCCATCGCACAAAGATGGCTGCTGGCCTTGGCTGGAAGAAGAGTGAGGTTGTGAATACAGGTCTCCTGACTGACAATAGCCACATGTGACCTATGTGATAGAACTAATTAATGTTAGAGGTGGGGCTCAAGCCCAGGTTGAGCGTCCTATCTTAGGGACCTTATCCTCTAAATTCCAAAAACCTATAAATCAGAATTCTGTTTGAGTTGGGGAGGTAGTGGTAGAGAGGTCACCTCACCAATGGTGCCATTTTGCCTATGGCAGGCTCTCATCAAGAAGAAAGGGCTCAAACTTGGGGTATTGAGTGCTTAAGGGCTAGATCCAAAAGCCAAAGTCACAGGAATGGCGTGTGTGAATTCTGTGCCCATGCCAAGCTATTCTACAGTGTAAACTCCTTGGAACAGGAGCCCAGTTGTGGCTAACAGCTAGCCATAGCAGAAACAGTAGGAAACAGCCACAGTCACTGGTGAGCTGGCAGGGACTTTAGAACATGAAGGGCCCTTAGAATCCAGAATGTCAGAGCTGAGAGGGACCTCAGAACACAGAGTGCTCCAACTGGGAGAACCTTAGAACAGAGAATATCAGAACTAGAGGAGGCCTTAGAATGCTCAAGCCAGGAAGGCCCTCAAGAGTACAGGGTTTGAGCTGGAAGGGACCTTTGATTCCAGAGGTCAAATGCCAGAGCTAAAACCCAGCACACACACACAGATGGCTGGAGCCCAAGGAGGCTCTAGATACAGAGGTTCCCAAACTTAATTGGCCTACCATCTCCTTTTCAAAAAAGTTACTCAGCATCCCCCTGGGGTTAGGTTAGGTTAACCCTTATTTTTGTTCAATGACCCTCAATTGTATCTGAGGCTATTACTGCCCCCCCCCCGGATTTGTCCAGAGCCCCCCCCAGGGGGCAGTACCCCCCACTTTGGATGCTCTAGAGCATTCAGCATAGATGGATGGCAGACAGAGGGAGCCTGGACTGGAGGTCTCACCCCTTTCCTCTTGTATTCCCAGTCAAGCTTGATGCGCCCATTAAACGTGGTCTCAGCGGTGCAGGACAGGCTCAGGGTTTCTCCTGCAAGCAGTTTTTTGGTGATTGACTCTGATGGAGATATTCTCTTTTTTGGTTTCTGGAAGACAGAATGGAGACTCTAACTCTCTGGGAAAGAAGCCACGATCCCACCCCACTGGAAAGGAAGACAGGTGAGAAAGAAAGGAACCTGGCCGATTCTTCATCCACATCTCCTCACTCGATGGAAATGCTGAATCCAACAGACAGTGCAATGACTCCAGAGGGCTGGGAAAGAACTGCTGAAGCCATTTGTAGCCAACCACATGGCACCACCCCCCATCTCCAGCCAAGGTTACAAATACTTTATTGGGGTGGATGGGGAAGGGATTCTGGAGTATTACTGTAGCATTCAACCCCATCCAACAAATATCTGTGAAGCACCTACTGTGTGCAGAGCCCTGTGATGGCCACTGGGGGAAGGGAGAAAATACAAAGTATAGATAAGGCATAGTTTGTGTCCTCAGGAAGCTTATATTCTCCCGAACTAAGCTTAGATCCGAACACGAATAACACACAATAATACATAAGGACATGAGAGGTACTAAAAAGTACATGTGGTCAAGGGGGTAAATCAGGGTGGCCATCCTGCAGGTGGTGGCATCAGAGCTGGACTAAAGGATGAGTAAGAATTCAACAGGTTGAGTAGGAGAAGGCATTGTCTCCCATGGAGGCAGCATGATATGGTGGAGAGAGCAGCAAACGTAAGAGCTAAGAAGTCCTGGGTGCAAATTCTGCCTCAGACACTTACTAGTTGTGGGGCCCTAGGCAAGTCACTTAACCATTATGAGCTTCAGTTTCCACATTTGTAAAAGGAGGAGCTTAAGCTTAATGGTCTTTAAAGTCCTTTCAAGTTCTAAGACTAGGGGTCCTATGAACTCAACAGGGCATAGGGTCTGGAAGTTGAGAGGTTGCTATGAATGAGAGATGAGAATTACAAGACAAGCAGATTTCAGCTAGATGTAGGGGAAAATCTTGTAATAGCTAGACATTCCAAAACTGGAATCAGCTATCCCAGGAGAGAGTGAGCTCCCCGTCAGCAAAGCTTGTCAGGAGTGCTGCGGAGAAGATTCACAATCAGATCAGGATTGGATTCTGGGACCTTCTTTTATAGTGTTTAACAACTTTGTTAGGAAGGTCACCTTTGTATAAAACCCCAATCCCTCAGGTTTCCTCATGGCTAAGTTGTAGGGGCAGATAGAGCTCTGTTTCCCATTTCCCAGGGACATGGGTTTCTCTAAGATCTCAGAAATTCTGCGGCTCCTTTTTCTGGGGTTCTCAGATGGATATGAAATTGAAGGGTAAGTGATGAGTCCAGGGTATTGCAGCAGCAGGAGGACTTCAATTGGGGTCATCCCAACTCAGGCACTCTATGTCATGCTGTTGCCCTAAAATACCTAGAACCAGCCTAACTACCAAGGAATTGTGCCCTTCTAACATAATGTACACCCTACGATCAAGACTTAAGGGTGCATGAAGCTCTAATTCCAGGTAGTGTTCTGTGTGTGGTGAGGCCCACTCACCCACTTTCTGGGGCAGGTAGAGGGAGACATGGGTCTTCCCACTGACTTTCGTCACACACTGGAGCAGACTGCTGAAGAATTGGAAGGATGGGCGGATGATGGTGAAGCCTTTCTGGGGGTTCCAGTCCTTGCTCGTATAGTTGAACTTGCCCGGGTTGAACTGTAGGAAGAGGGAGACATGAAAAGATCCAGCTTGGTCCTCAGTATTAGCACAAACCCAGCTACACAGACTAAGAATGAGCTCTCAAATGTGGAGGAAGAGTCAGCACCATGGAGGAGAAAGGCTATGGAGGTGCAAGCCCTGGGGGTGAGGTCTACCTCCAGAGCCTTTGTTCCTCTGATAGGACTTAGAGCCGGCAAGGACCTTGAGCTGGAAGGCACGTTGGAGGTCATCTAACCTGAAGGGGGGTCAAACCTGAAGCAGGCACTGCAAAATTCCTAAATGTGACCAGATTCAAATGTCATGGGGAAATGGTTAGCAAAAGCAATACAAATACAATACAACAGAGATAGTGTCCATTTGTCATTATCGAAGTGAATATGGGCCCACCACCGGCTCTAATTGAATCCCTTCAACCAACCAATCAGCAAGCATTTATACAAAGACAAAAGTGAACTAGTCCCTGGCCTTGAGGGGGCTTCCATTCGAACAGGGCAGACAATATGTGTGTAAACAGACTGACACATGTAGAACATATAGAAACCTAAGACACATATAGAATGGACACATATAGAACTTATAGAAGCATAAGACATACAGAATAGACACATATAGAACCAATAGAAACCTAAGACACATATAGAATAGACACATATAGAAACCTAAGATAAGTATAGACACATAGAGAACCTATCAAAACCTAAGACATGTATAGGACAGACACACATAGAACCTATAGAAACATAAGACACACATAGAATAGAATAGACATGAGATGATGGGGAAAGTCACTAGCATCTGAGGGGTGCCACGATTCAAGAACAGCCTCATGCAGAAGGTGGAGCTGGAACTGAAGCTGGAAGGGAGCTAGGGATTCCAAAAGGCAGCAATAAAGATGGAGAACATTCCAAGGGTGGCAGCCCAGAGTGGGGAAGAGATTGCCCCCGGCCACACAGGCAGTAAGTGGTGGAGCCAGGATTCCAACCGAAGTCCTTGGGCTCCAAGGACTGCATTCAGGCAGAGGACCAGTTTCTTCTCCTCTCTAGGCCTTAATTTCTTCCCCTGTAAAAGGAGAGGGTCAGACTAGGTTGTCTCTGGGCTTCCTTCCAGCCCTAGATCTGGGATCCTCTGTGTGACTTTGGGCAAGTTTTCCCCTCCCTGTCCCTCAGTTTCATTCTCTGTAAAATAAGGGGATTGGACTTGATGGGTTCTGATATCCCTTCCAATTCTAGATCTAGGATAGATTCAAGGACGCAATGAAAGGTCCTTTCCACTAGATTATGCTGATCTCCAACTTCCATGACCTTTGTCATCTCAGTGAAACTCTGATAACACCTTGCCTCCCCCAATGAGAACTTGTCTGGAGATTATTATTTTTATTAATGGCATATATACAGAGCCTCAAGGTTTGCAAAGCACTTTACATAGGCTATCTATCTCATTTGAAGATGCCTTGTAAGGTTTAATGCCTATCCAGAGTCATTTGTTGCTGTTCAGCTGTTTTTCAGTCATGTCTGACTCTTTGTGCTGCCATTGGAGGTTTTCTTGGCAGAGATGCTGGAGTGGTTTGCCATTTCCTTCTCCAGCTCATTTTACAGATGAGGAAACTGAGGCAAACAGGGTGAAGTGATTTGCCCAGGGTCACACAGCTAGGACATGTCTGAGGCTGGATTTGAACTCAAGTTTTCCTGACTCCAGAGCTCTATCCATTGATCCATCTAGCTGCCCCATCAGCAGAGAAACCTTCATAAAATGTGACCTCTTCTGCTTCAGCCTTTTTCTTGGATGCCATTTTTACTGTGTATTGTACCTATTTGTCTATACAGCCTATGCCCTTGTCAGGGGCTCTAGGCTTCCTGAGGCTGGCATGTTTCATCCCTAGTGCCAAGCACAAGGACTTGTATATAGTAGGGGTTTAAGAAATGTTTCTTGAAGTAAACTTGCCCTGTTGATTCTGGGAGGGCACTTTGAGATCTATAGAAGGTAAATTTCATGAGGTCAGGGACTTTCATCTTTGTCTCTCTATCCTCAGCATCTAGGACAAAACCTGGCACCTGGAAGGTACTTAATAAATGCTTGATGGATTAACTTACCCAACCCAGCCCTGCCTAGTCCTTCTACAGATAAGGAAGATAAGGCCCAGTGAGGCAGAAGTTAGAGGAAGAAATGCCACTAGAACCTGGCTGTCACCCTGATGGAACTCTGAGAAGGTTAGTGCAAAAGAAGGATTTGGGGCTCAGGGCTATGATCATTCTCAGTCCAGAGGGAAAGGGAAAATATTCTGAGCTTCATCCTTTGGGACATGAGAGGCTTGGATTAGAGGAGTTCTGAAGTCTCTCCCGTTTCTAACATTCTCTATTCTAAAGCCCCTCTTAGCTCTGACATTCCCTGTTCTAAGGCCCCTCTCAGTCCTGAAATTCCCTGTTCTAAGGCCCCTCTCAGCCCTGAAATTCCCTGTTCTAAGGCTCTGACAAGTCTCTGTTCTAAGGCTCCACCCAGCTCTGACATTCCCTGTTCTAAGCTCTCTCCCAGCTCTGACATTCCCTATTCTAAGGCCCTTCTCAGCTCTGACATTCCCTGTTCTAAGACTCCTCCTGGCTTTGACATTCTCTGTCCTAAGGCCCCTCCCAGTTCTGACATTCCTTGAACCCAAGGTGGCGTAGAAACAAGGCTCTGAGCATCACTTATACACCCATTCCGGCTGCTTGGGAAATGTTTGGCTCTTGCCTTCTTCTTAGAAGGTTAGCACATTGGGTAAGACAAGCAAGGATGTCCCCCTTCCCACCCCACCCCTTTTGTCCTTTCAAGGTGAAATTTGGCTGCTGGCAGCCTTTTAATTTGGGAAAAAGGATGTTCGAAATTAGCTGGGTCCCTTCCTTGCCTGGAGCTTCCTCTTGGCATGGGAAGGAGACATGGAGGCTCCAAGCAGTCACCGAGGCTGGCTGGGTGCGGCCAGCCAGGCCCGCCCTCATTAGAAGGGGATGGAGGCTGGTAGTAGGGGCCAGCTGGGTGCATACCTCTGCCACTGACTGCATCCTGCGTTCCCTGACCAGCCCTGTTATTTGAAGATAGGTCCCCCAAAACACAGGGGCACCTTCCTTTTTCCTTTCGAGACAGCCCCTCCTGACAGGAGTAGAACTATCTTAGGGGGCCAGTCTTTTTTTTTTTTTAAATCTCATTTTAATTAATATCTTTTGTTTTGACATTATCCTCATTTCCAAATATATCCCTTCTCCTTCCCCTCCCTGGCAAACCATCCTGATAACAAAAAAAAAAAAGAAAGAGGAGAAAAAAACAGAAAAAAAAAAACCCACGCAGCACCCACATCTAACAGTATATGTACTCTTCCACTCCCATAGTCCTCCACCTCTCCAAAGATGGGAGGGAGGCACATTTTTCTCAATCCCTTTCAGATTCCAGCTTGGTCCTTTGGATTACACAGAATTCAGTTTGGGGGTTTTGGTTTATTTTTCAAATCCTTTCATTTATGTGGTTGGAGTCAGAGTATATTGTTTTCCTGGTTCTGCTTATTCTACTTTGTATCGGTTCATACAAATCTTCAGGGGACATTCTTAAGCAGCACTCTGGTACAATAGGAAAAGCCAAAAGACCTGGGTTCAAGTCCCAGCTCTGCCACTTATGATCTTAGCAAGTCACTTCAACTATCTAAGTCTCAGTTTCCATCTCTGTAAAATGAGGGGCTTGAACTAGATTAGCTGTGACTTATTATTAGCTGTGACTTTGGATAAGACCCAGGGGTTGGACTAACTCATCTGGAAGGTCCCTTCTAGCTTGAAAACAAATGATCCTATGACCTCTCAAGCCTCAGTTTCTTCAGCAGCAAAATGGGGCTAATGTTGCAATAAAATTGTGAGTTTCTTAAGTTTCATAAGCAGGAGGATGAAGGACAATTCGCCAAGGTGGCCCAGGCCTGCCCAGATAAATCCCAGGGGGACGATGTTTTAGAATTAAGAATTTTTTGGCCTTCAGCAGTGTTTAAAACCAACCTCAACTGTCAGAAACAGACTTGCAGTCACAGACCATTAGGAACAGGGAATGTGTGCACATCTTCCCAGTTATATAAGGAGAACAGATAGTATGGTATATTGGAAGGAGGGTTGGGATGGGGGAAGGAGTAGTAAATAAGCATTTATTAATCACTTTCTACGTGCCAGACACTGTGCTAAGCACTTTTTTTGGGGGGGGGCTAAGCAATGGGGGTTAAGTGACTTGCCCAGGGTCACACAGCTAGTAAGTGTTATGTGTCTGAGGCTGGATTTGAACTCAGGTCCTCCTGAATCCAGGGCTGGTGCTCTATCCACTGTGCCACCCAGCTGCACTTTTTATAAATGTTATCTCATTTAATCCTCACAACAATACTGGGAGTAGGTGCTCTTATGATCCTCATTTTACAGTTGAGGAAACTGAGGCAGACAGATGTTAGGTGACTTGCCCAAGGTCACACAGCTAGTAAGTATCTGAGGCTAGATTTCAATTTAGGTTTTCTTGACTCCAGGCCTAGCATTCTATCCACTGTGATACCTAGCTGCTCTAATAAACAAAAAATATTAGGGGAAAAAACCATCAGACTTGGTATTGGGAGACCTAGGTTCAAATCTTAGAATTGACTTTTTTTCTTGGATGACCTTGGGCAAATCACTTCCATTCTCTGAGTTTCAATTTGTCTGTTTCTTTGGAAAAAAGGGGATGATAACACTTACACTACCTTTTTCACAAAGTTGTTATGGGGAAAGTACTTTGTAAACTTTAAACACCATAGATAAATGAGAGCTAGCTGCCATTATTAGGGGCAGTTAGGTGGTGCAGAGCTCTGGGCCTGGAATCAGGAAGACCTGAGTTCAAATCTGACCTCAGACACTAGCTGTGTGACCCTGGGCAAGTCACTTCATCTTGTTTTCCTCAGTTTCCTCATCTGTAAAATGATCTGGAGAAGGAAATGGCAAATCACTCTAGTATCTCTGCCAAGAAAACCCCAAATAGGGTCACGGAGAGTCAGACATGATTGAAAAATGACTGAACAACAAGTTGCTATTATTACTGTTGTTAATCCTCAAAAACAGATGTCCCTGCCTGGTTTGGGTAGGCCTGTCAAAATGCTGCTCCTTGCCTTTCCCTATGGAGGTTACCTCAAAAAGGATTTGGGCTAGCTCAATAACATGGCTTTCTGGCATAGTATCTGAAGGAAGCTTATCAAATGGATAAGACCTCAATGGCTATGGATTGGATAATCAGGTGAGGATTGTGGTGGCAAAGACTCTCTTAGGAGCACTCCAAAGAAAGTTGGCCAAGAAACAAAATAACCTTATCTGCCACATCTTCCCTCCACATCTCAAGACTCCTTAGATTTAAGCTCTAAATAAGCCTCTCTGAGATCCCAAAGGAGTCACTTACCAGATCCAGCTTGACATTTAGTTCAGGGGAAGTGACTCGGCAGGGCACAATCACCTCCTGTGCTCCAGAAAACACAGTGATCACCAGTGGCTCGTCATAGTATCTTTTCACAAAGGGCTGGCTGTCATCTGTGGGAGAGAGAAGGCAGATGATGAGTTCTCAAGACTTATCCTGTGGCTGTCGAACCCCAAAGGAATAAGGGAAGGAACAGGTTAGTCTGTAAGTTTCTCATGAGTACATTTAAAGAGATCAGTGGCCATGAGTAAATGAAAACATTTTTGAATTCACATTCACATTGCCTTCCCTAGCAGGGACCCAGATGAAGGCACTATTCTCAAGTACTGACCTCTTGAGGTGAGGTTGTTTGAAACAAGTATAGAAGCAAATCCTTGGTGTGTGAACCAGGACATCTAATGGGCAGAGCAGCTACAGTCTGGACATCAGGCCTTGCTCCAAATATGACAGTCCTCTAGTCATGTGGCTAGCTTATGGTGCCTCCTCCTTTCCACCTCTAGCCCCCTCACCTGGGGCTAAACTTAGATGATAAGTGTCATTCCTTATTTTGTCTTTGTAAAATACCAGGAGGGTGTAGGGAATGGAGAGCCAGCCTCAACACCAGGAAGACCTGGGTTCAAGTACCACTTCTGACACATGATTACTGAGTGACCTTGGATGAGTCATTAACTTCTCAGTACTCCTAGGCTATCCTCTAAGACACTATCAAAGTCTTTCAAAGATTATGAGTTGAGGAGAAGGCACCGACCTGCTTTGGCACAAGGTATTATCTTATCAGGAACTGCCTACACAAATGGAATCACACGTCTAGACCTGATCCCTAAAGTAACAGATAATAAGAGTCTACACAGGCACATGTCTATAGGACTTTAATGTTGACAGATCACAGTACCTCTTTCCCTCTCTTCCTCTATCCCAGTGTGGTTGTCAGGAAAGTATGATAATTCCCATTTTCCAGATGAGGAAATTGTAGCCTCAGGATCATGTGACTTGATCAACAATAGGACCACAGACCTAGAGAGGGTCAAGACCATCGAGTCCAGCCCCTCCATTTTATGAGGAAGGGAAGTGAGGTCCAAAGACAGGAAGGTTATACGTGGGATCAGAGCTTTAGTACTGGAAGTGACCTCTGAGGCCATCTAGACCAACCCTCTCACTTTACAGATGGGGAAACAGTCCCAGGGAGGGGAAATAGTTTGCCCAAACTCATAGGGCTAATGAGGAAGAGATGAGATTTGAATCCAGGTTGTCCAACCCCAAAGTCAGGGCCCTACCTCTTAGGAGGGAACTGTCTCAAAGCTGACACGCAAATCTTGCCATGCCTTACCTCAACTGTCTCTCCTCTATATGCCTATGACTCCCAGATCTCTGGTTCTGGTCCTTGGTCCTGAATTCTGATGGGAGCTCCCATGATATATTCTAAGTGGTCAGAGGGTCATCTCCACTTGGATGCCACATGGTCAAATTCAAGATGTTCCAAACTGAAACTTTTCTTGTTCTCTTAAGTCCTCTAGGGTCATCAATGGGAACACCACTGACTACTCCAAAACTCCTGAAGCTACTCTTGATCCCTCCAGCTATTTGTGACATCTTTCTCCATCCCACCCCCTATCCCAACTGGAGGATTATAGTACCTTTGGATTCTAAGGCCTGTTTCCATGGTGGCTTCACAAGCTGAGGAGGAGGAAGAAGGTGGGCACAGTACAGGTGATGAGACCCTTCTTAAGCTTTTGGGGTAGGAATCCAGCAGACAGGCCACATGTGCCTGACAGGTGGCCTCAGAACCTCCAAGGCAGGGAAAGGTTGCAGGAAGATGGGTTGGGGTAGAGGCCATAGCTACTTCCCCAGCTCCAAAAAGGCTGTGGGAGCAAAAGTCCCAGCCTCAGGCAATAGGGGCAAGGCTAGGCAGCTCCTGACAGCTAAAACTCTAGACCTTCCCTTTGCTCAAGATTCGTGAAGGTAATAGAACCACAGAATGTCAGAGCTGGGAGAGGCCTTAGAACAGGGAATGTCAGAGCTGGGAGGGACTTAGAATAAAGAATGTCAGGGCTGAGAGGGCCTTAGAACAGGGAATGTCAGAGCTAGGAGAAGCTTTAGAATAGGGAATGTCAGAACCGAGGGAGGGTTTAGAACAGAAAAGGTCAGAGCTGGAAGGGACCTTAGAACACAGAAGGCCAGAGCTGGAAGGAACCTTAGAACACAGAAGGTCAGAGCTGGAAGGGACCTTAGAACAAGGAATGTCAGAGGTGGGAGAACAGGGAATGTCAGAGCTGAGAGAGGCTTTAGAGCAGGGAATGTCAGAGTTGGGATGGTCTTAGAACATGGAATATCAGAGTTGGGATGGCCTTAGAATATGGAATATCAGAGCTGGGAGAGGCTTTATAGTGGGGAATGTCAGAGCTGGGATGGCCTTAGAACATGGAATATCAGAGCTGGGAGAGGCTTTAGAACAAGGAATGCCAGAGCAGGGAATGTCAGAGCTGGGAGGGGTTTTAGAACAAGAAATGTCCCAGCTGGGAGAGAAGAGCCTTAGGACACAAAGTTTGGGAGGCAGAAGAGCCCTGACAAAGCACCTAATCCAATCTTATTTTATAGATCAGCCTAAACAAAACTGGGCCTGTTTGTGATTACTCAGCAGGTCAGTCACAGAGTTGAGCCTGGATGCCTCAGGTTTCCTTGGGCTCTGGGAATGGTTGCGTCACATGCCCTGACATACTCTGAGCACACCATTAACACTGTCTCCAGGAACAGCCTGACCAAAACATAATTGGCAAGAGTTTGTGCAACGTCATTGACTCTCCTGTTTGCTTTCTCTCGAGCCTGAGTCCCTTTGTAGAAGACAAGGCTGGCAAGGGCTTTAAGCAGTGGCACCCCAATGCTCAGCATGAGACCCAGGTGGTCTCTCTCTGCTATTGGCCCTTTGTCTTTTGTGGCTAACCTTTAGGACTGGCTTACCTTAGGGTACCTACCTTAGGCCTCTTCTCCCTCCCTTCCAACTTGCCCCAAAGCCCTGCTCCCAAACTGCTCGGGTGACTTAACCATCAGAGAAAGGTACACTGTCTCCAGATGGCCCCTACAGAAATGCCCATGTGAGCGTGTGTGAGTCTTGCAGTCAGGTACAGAGGGTGCTGAGCCCACCAGACCTGGCAGGAAGGTCTTTGGAATCTGGCATGCAGATGGCTCTATGTTATTAGCCGTGATGGGGTCAAGTCATCTTAAAATACAGCCAAAATATCCTGGCACAAAGGGGACATAAATGGAAGAGGTAAATGCGGGGCAAGCCATCTTCTGGGCATTGCCAAGCTTCCTGAGGGCACAAACAGAGCTCTGCCAGCTGCTAAGGGAATGTCAATGGCCCTGGGCATTAAAGGTTCTTCCCCTGCATATTTTTCTAGGACTCCATCAGTTATCCTTAACCAGGCCTATAGACAAGTTATTCAGGGTGATGGTCAAAGGGCCTTTGGCCCACAGGATCCTCTTGTACAATGGCCTTGGACATTACCTTCACGGCCTAGCCCAGTGTCAGGAAATCTAATTGACCCCAGACAGCCTCAAGAATGGTGACAGCCAGGGAAAACAACAGTACTCTGGGCCATATCCTAGGTTGAGAGAAAGAAGGCTGCAACTAGCTGTGGGTTGTGGGGAGGCTAGCCCCAAACCTCAGCCTGGTAAGAGACAAAAATGAAGCCTACAGAATGTCAGATGTGGCAGAGGCCTTAGAACACAGAAGGTCAGGGCTGGGAGGGTCACCTTAGAACCTAAAGCAGAGAATGTTGAAGCTGGGAGGGGCCTTAGAACATTGAGCATAGAATGTCAGAACTGAAAAAAAACTCTTAGAATTTCAATAGCCTATGTTCTAAGGGCCCTCCTAATTCTGTTTTCTCCTCTGTAAAATGATGGAGTTGGAGAAGTCTGGGGAGATGGCAGAGTGTAAGGTAACTATCCCACCCACCTCAAATAAAGAAGACTTTGAAACATAGAAAGCTCAGCAAGGGCAGGAAGAAGACGAAGACCCCATCACCAGATGATTCTTGTGTGTGTGCGTCTGTGTGTGTGTGCGCACGTGTGCACGTGTGCGCAGGTGAGTGCATATGTGGGTGTGGGTGGGTGGGTGGTGGGGTACTGAACACCACCTTGACAGCAGGCTGCTCATGGGACTGCCATCACTCTCACCCTCCTCATCCCACGCTTGCCCCCGCCGAAGATGACTGGCTCAGAGTACTCTCCCAGTGGCTACCATTTTGGAAGTTTGGAAGTTAATCTTCTTCAGTTTCCTCCACGGGTCAACTATAAGTCAACTAAGAATTATTCAGTGCCAATGATATGCCAGGCTCTGTGTTGGATGTTGAGGGTACAAAGACAAGAATTTTAAAAGTTCCTGCCCTCCAAGAGACAACAGGTGCACAGCCCATAGAAAGAGAGAGGAGATAAGTACGAATTCACTGGGGGCAGGGGAGCGCTAGGCTAAGTTAGGAAAAGTCTCATGGAGGAGGTGTCATTTAAGCCAAACTTTGAAGGAGCCAGCGGATTCTAAAAGGTGGGCAAGAGCAGGGAGTGTGTTCCAGGCATGGGGAGCTGCCTGAGCAAAAGTCCAGAGACAGGAGATAATGTCTTGCATAAGGAACAGTAAGCAGATTGGTCTGGTGAGACTTCTAAGTGTGGGAATGGGAGTGATGTCTAGTAAAGCTGCAAAGAAAGGTTGGAGCCAGTCTGCGAAGGGCTTTAAATGTCAACCAGAGGAATCTGTCATTGGTCTTAGAGGTAACAGGGAGCTATTGGAGTTTCCTGAGCAGAGGAGTGACTCAGTCAGATCTGGACTTTAAGAATATCCCTTGGGCAGCTGTAGAAAGGACAGATTTGGAGAACAGACGACTGGAGGGAGAGAGACTAAACAAGAGGTTGTTGAAAAGGCAAGAGATGATAAGAGACAGAATAGATGTGTAGTGTTTTAATGTTGAAGAAATGACCAAAGGGTGGACTAGAAGAAGAAGGGGGGAAGTCCAACACCTTTTCTGGGGGATCTGGGGAACATTAGAGACCAACTGTACAGACAAGAGCCTCAGATCTTTGGGGCACCTTCTGGAGGTGTTACCTCCTCCCTCTCCTTGTTCCC